ATCTCCATGGATATTAGAAAACAAATGGCTTCTAAGCATCTGTCTGATGAAAGAGAAATATTTCACTAGTCGAAGTATTGAAGAAACAAAAAATATCGCTTCAGGTTCCATCATTAGGTCATATCAAAACGTGATGTAGTTTGCCTTGAGAATGCTTGCGTTATATTTAGAGGATTATTTTGTCGAATCAATCGACTTAGGTTAGCATATCTTCTGGGGTTTATAATGTGAAACCCGAAATAATGGATAATATCTTATGAACGAGTAAGGTAAATACGTCACCTAATGCGAAGTTAGGCTCAGAGCCAGAAACTGATAGATATGGCAGATGAAGGAAGTGGCACATACGGCTTATAAAAGGAGTCCGAATGAAAAGGAATCTGCGTAAGCCAATAAAGATGGCGATGATTAAGTACTTTGGAAATTGCGAAAGGTTGGGTAATGGAGAAAGTATTAAGAGTTGGATGAGGTATGCGGAATGTAAACTTGTCATCTTTTTTTTTTTTTTGTCAAGAAATGGTAAAAAAAAAAGAAAGGAATAAACGAGGTTCCCGGAATATTTTTAAGAAACTGTATGAAGAAGAAAGGAGGAAAATACATTTTGTAAATGTTGAAGTAAGAAGAGAATATGTCTATGAAGAAAAAAATGAAGAAAAGAAAGCAAAAAAGGCAAAATAGAAAGAAAGTAAAAAGAAAGAAGCAAAAAAAAAAGAAGGAAAACGAAAAGAAAGACAAAGGTAAAAAAGAAAGAAAGAAGTAAAAAAGACAGAAAGAAAAAAGGAAACAAAGAAGGGAAAAAGAAAGAAAGAAAGAACTGTAAGTAATCAGGAATGGTAAAGGATAAGAACATATTCTTCTCCAATTTGCATCAATTCGTATATCTTAAAAAATCACATACATGGAAAGAAAATTACAATACTGAACATATGCTTCACTTTACACTATATATTTTTGAATTTGTAGGTCTGATGAATTGGATCGTATTTACGATTCCAATGGAATAAATTATGACCATGGAATATTAGTGTCTAAGCCATTTTATTATATCCTTACTCTGTCCTGGACATTGAGTTCTACCTGGATTTTATCCTCATGGAATTTTTTTATACAAAATATATATATATGTGTATGCATGTATGTATATATATTTATATATTTTGCATATGTATGTATATTTACCACTAATATTATCTATCTATCTATCTATCTATCTATCTATCTATATATATATATATATATATATATATATATATATATATATATAGATACACCTAGTGAGCCAGACACACCTACCTAGGTTTCATCTAAACGGATCGTCAGGAAAGTTTCAGCCAAACTTTCCTGACGATCCGTTTAGGTGAAACCCAGGTAGGTTTGTCTGGCCTACTAGGTGTATCTAGGTCTGCTCTACGGTTGTATTGAGCTCTTTTTGTTAGTTAGTTGTTACTCGTATTGGGGTTTTTTCTTTGGACTTCAGACCTGCATCTGTGCGATTTTTTGTCGGCAGAAGTTCATGTTTGTAGCTCTTTTTTTTTAAAACCTTTTTTTCCTCGAGATTGATTTGATTAGCAAATCAAAATTCGAGGTTTTTCGAAACGAGTCTAGTTATCTATATATATATATATATATATATATATATATATATATATATATATATATATATATATATTTGTACAGCATAAGACACGCATTCTTTCAAAAAGTAGATGGAAAAATTCATTGAGACCTTTACTCAAGTTTCTGGCCTGTCGTAGGACAATTTCGTCCCGATAGCTCACGTTTGAAGGATATAATTTTATCCCATGCAGTCACTTCTACCTAGCTCGCTTACATAACTGTATCATTTACTCAAACTACATTATTATTATTATTATTATTATTATTTGTACTGAATAAATTACCGTAACAATTTCCCTTCGGTAAGAGGTAATAACATTTTCAGGAAAATCAATTTCTCAAGTCCAAATAATTTTATCTTCCTTTCTTGGGAATTTCCTTCCTCGACTTTTGTTTAAGCTCGTATGGGAAGGAAACAATTGATTATAACATTATTTTCCTTTCTACTTACAAACACTATCCATTTTCATTCTTGCTGCTGGAGAAAGTCTTCTACTGATTTTTTTTTTGTAATTTCGTCATGTTGTTTGCTTGCGACTGTGTAGCGCCAGTCTACGCAATTCATCGAAGGATCGTCATCTTCAAGAGAAAATGGTTACATACGCTTGAATACCTGACCTTTCCTGCCGTCCTACAAGTGTCCGATCTGGCCAATATTGGAATACTGTTGCCATATTTGTGAAGGAGGTGCACGGTCTTCTTTTTCGCGTCTCGATAGAATCCAAATGCGTCTTGGTGTCTTTTTAGTCGACGAATTATTTTCTACGCTACAACCTCTCTCCATTATGCAATAAAGCATACTGCTCGAACCTTTGTCTTCCTCTACGGTCGTTGTTACTTAGTGGGGCGTATCGGTTCTGTCACTCCTTTAGTCTCCTGGGCTCTCCGACTGTTTCGCGGCCATTACACCAAAATCGCACGGTCCCTGTCTCTTTCTGAAAATCAAATCAGCCCTTTCTTTCTCTGTATTATTTTTGTTGTATTAAATAACAACATTCATATAGCCTGTACCTGCTACTTTTATTGTCTCTAGTATACAAATTTTAGACGATTACAAGTCAGAGGCGGAGAGGTTGATGGAGGTGAGAGAGATAATTTTGCCATGTTGGCACTTGCAGACCCATATACAAGAAGACGAAAATTCTTATTGAACGACTGGGTATGGAAAACTTGTTTTTTTAAAAGGAAATCTCACGTTCTTGCTATTTGTTGATTCGTCAATTCACGGATCCGGGTGAAAGAACCGCTATATGTTCGTTGTTTTTTTTTTCTTTTTGAGGGACTTGTGATCATCAACTGGCCCTATCGAAAGTATCTTATTTCGGTAGTACAATGTTTCCAAAAACCTGTGTGATTTTGTTTTTGTAAAGAAAATTTTATTCTTTTTATTTTTAAAGTAACTAATCTCTATATTACACAGGCGAAGTTTCGGCTGAACATTAGGCCAGGCAGATTTTGAAACCATGGTATTGCACTCAATCTGATAGTTGAGATTTGACGTGATAAATAAGAACACAGAAGTTTTTTTTTCCAATTCGTTACTGTTTTTTGAGGAGATGGGTTTAAAGTTTAAATTAATTTCGGTTATGATTGAAAGCTTTATAGAGCGGCCTTATAAAATTTATAATTTACAGAAGTTTTAACAATTTTATATGGAAAAGATGCATGTTGCAAGTAGATCATAACTAAACGATTGTGCTATCAAATAAGACCTTCATTTACTTCAAAGGGAAATTATACTGAATAATTTAGCTATATTATGATGTAATATGTTGTCAGTGTAGTAGTTTTAGTGTTATTTTTAAATAAACAATGTAAATTTAAAACAGTTTATCTTATATGTACCCAGTATTATTATGGCATTATATACACTTTTATCAATTTTTGTTTTTATTACTTAGGATTTGATAAATTATCTAACAAATCTTTGAGTAGATTTTTGCAATCGATTACATTTTTTGAATAGATTTTATTTATCGAATAAAGTAAAAAAATACATATTTTGCTTGTAGTAATTCATAATTAGAATTCTGATTTGAATATATTTTCCATTCAATGTATCTAATACAAAAATTATCAACTTTTTTTTTATTTATTCTTGAAATAGTAAAATTTTGATGTAAGTTTATAAGCAAAAACCTACAGAAATTAGGTATTTCTGTGTATTTTTCAGACTGTCTTTCAAACTAAATAGTCTAAAGTTGGTAAAAGTTATGTATCTAAACTTTGGTGTCATCACGTATCTCATCAAACATCAGCGTTCACATTGAGAGCAATATTGATTTTCTAAAAGAATTGAAAAAAAATCAACCTGCCTTAGAAAGAAGTGAAAAAAATCAACCTGCCGTAAAAGAGGCTCGTTATATTAATTTTAATTTCTCGTGAATAATTATTTAAATACTTCTTTTAAGGAAAATGTAAGACGATCAGTCTATTTGGAATAGAAAAATATACATAAGGGAATTCTTCCAGAGAAGCATTTGTGTATTTTGAATACATTAGCGTAGTTTATATTAATATTCACTAGCTATATATTTTATTTACATATAGTTTTTCTTCAGAGTATAAATTAAAAAAATATAAAAAATTACAAAGTTGCAACGCGAGGTTATATGGAAGGTAAAACTAGTATCTATTTTAAGTTACATGAATTATAAGTTAAACATTCTATTATGTTGAAAGCTAGTAGAAAAATAAAAAAAGGAGAAATTGTCGGAATTTGAGTGAAAAATTAAAAAAAAATATATTGTTTTTGTTAAGGTTGCAATCATCCTTCGTAGTGCTTTTAAAAAAAATAATCGAAGGCCCTAGAGCCATTCAAGGTAGAGCGTTACAGACTGAGAGGGACATTAGAGGAGAAAGTACGTGTAGATTAAGAGAACGTGCAGGATAGATGGCGATTGCCTTAAAGTGGTTAACACTGTAATGATGGCGCAAGCACACTCTCTGGAGTTTGTCTCGTGAAGAAGATATCTGAGCGGAAGTTTCTTAAAATAGCTCTTGCTGAAATCAAGCTAGATTCCGAGAGAGCTTCATTAAATAAATTCTCTCACGCTAAAACATTTACAGAAATAAAGAAATAATAGCAATATTATAAATTTTGTTCGGAGAACTGAAATTTTTTTTTTCAGCTTGTTGATATCAGCACAAACTATCTGCACATTTCCATAATAAAAGCAATATATATATATATATATATATATATATATATATATATATATATATATATATATATATTTCCTGGGGAGATTCTTAAGGATACAGCTCCAGGAAAATCTCCTGGCATATTTTTCCCTAGATTTTTTGTGGGTAGAGGCAAAGAATACATGAAATGGAAATCTATGTATCAATCTCAGTCTGAATATCTATATTATTTAATCCAGTCTATCTATCTATCTATCTATCTATCTATCTATCTATCTCAGTCAGTCAGTCAGTCAATATCTATCAAATTCAGTCTGTCCTTATAATCTATCCTAGTCTGACCATATTATATCTATGTAATTTTATTCTGTCAAAATATCTATCTATCTATCTATCTATCTATCTATCTATCTATCTATCTATCTGTATGTATGTATGTTTTTCAAATATTGTAGCAGTAAAAGTTCCCATTTGTTAGATTAAGATCTGAACCGATGTATCTTAGTTAATGATTAAAGATATCTTATTGGAATACGCCGACGTTATTATAAAACTATTGGACTCTACTTTGACCAATAAGAATATACAGCGGGGAGAAACAAATATTCGCAAAATGATAATTTATTGTATTTCCAACTAATGAATAAAACATACTTATCATATAATTAACTCCTCGCAGATGCATAATAACTAAATATCCATAGAGGATTTAATAGAAATAAATTCCATTTATTCATTGTATTGGGTGAAAAACTATTCGTACAATACTGTTAAGGGGCCCACCCCTTTTTCATACAAGTGTATTCGCAGAGTGTGTACTTGTACTGCTGCCGGTGAATACCCAGTGTTAGACAGTGACAGTGATACAGTGAGAGAGTGAGAGTATGAGGTAAGCGCTTTGTAAGAGTCACAGTTGCGAGCGCGTAGACTCAGAAGGAAGTCCTACTTCGATACTGAATTTCCCAGACTGTATTTCTGGATCTACTAACCGTATTACCAATTGTATTATTACGTCAATACATTTATTTGCTATATTTCATTCCTGCGTTTGTCATTCATTTTGAGACCGGATTTCATCCCGGAATCCACAAGAAATACAAAAATATGTTTATTCATTAGTTGGAAATAGAATAAATTAAAAATTTGTATGTGTACGAATATTTGATCCTCCCACAGTATAATTACTCTAAGCTTAACAGAAGTATCGTGATGAAATCGATCATAAACGAAAATGATATGCTCATTAATTAGTCATAGCTAAGGATCGGAAGCTCATGCATGATTGAAATAAAGTTCAAACATATATATATATATATATATATATATATATATATATATATATATATATTCTCTTCAAGGATCATTTTCCAGACTTATTCAAGATGATTTTCGCCCTCTCTTCCTTTCTGTCCTGAAGTAAGAAGGTGCCTAACAGGTTTCACGTACGGTTTCATTTTAAAGTCTTTTTTCACTGCTCTTTGGGTTGTCATAGCGGGATCTCCTCTCTCACGTACCAAACGTCTTATGGGTTGACTTTGAGGTTTTCTCATTGATCTCTTTAGCTGAAAATTGAAATCATGATCCCTCTTCCTGATGTGACCTTCTGACCCAGTTTCCATCTTTATTCTTCTCTCTCTTTTTAAAAAAAATATTCACCGTTCTCTTGATGGTTCTTGAATGGACTTGGAAGATGGAAGCAAAAGTATGAATGTTGGTACTATTACTGAAGGCCGAAATGATTTTCCTCTCACCATTGCTCAATTGGGAAGGAAGTAGGTCTGACACAAGCCAATTTTAACTGCTATCTGTTTAACTGAATAACTCAAAGGTTTTTGCACTGATGATATGAGAAATGTTATGATGGCTAAACGTCTTAATTGAAAATCTGGAAAAACAAATTCAATTAGTTTAGTGTTTTTTTAGATATTAAACATGTGGTGTAGATAATGTTGTCACGAAGTAAATGGTTTAGAAATAACAAAACAAGAGGTTGCAAATAAATGGTATATTGGACAGTAAATACAACAGAAGAGTGTTACACGACTTGGGAGTGTGTGTCGGTTGACAGGCGTTCAGTCTGTATCACTGTTAATAATTAAATGTCCCCCAAGAGGGATGTATGTGGCACAAGGCCAAGTTTACCGTGGGTTCTCCAAGCCCGTAGACTCGGCCAAAAATATACCATTAGAACCCGCATAAACAATTTCAGGGCCTGCCTACCTCCCCAGATTTCCCTCTGCACAAATCAAAGAGTTCGACAGTTGAACAGTTTGGAACACTGTTGCATTTAACGCCCCCCTCCCCCAATGTGTGTCGTTTGTGGCACAAAGCCGAGTTTATCGTGGGTTTTCCGAGCCTGTAGGCTCGGCAAAAAATATTCCCTTCGAACCCGTATTAAAGTGTTCTTTGCTTGTTTACCTCACTTGGACGAAACTTTGCCCTTCGGCAAAGCCTCGTCCAGGTTCCTCTCTGCTCAAGGCAGAGAGTTCGACAGTCATGAACGGTTGGAGCACTGTTCCCCCCGAGGTTTACTTTCCTACTAATTTTATAGTAAGTGGAAGAGTCCACAATAGACTCATTAGAGGGAGGACACCACAACATATACTTATGCCGTTACACGATTTGAGGAATTTTGGTGTTACACATTATATTAAGACCTTGAATAAGTTCTAGCAGGTTTTTCATGAAAAGTAATGTTTTATTTACAAAAATTAGTAAGAAACCTGTCACTGAATGTATTGTCCATCGGTAAATAATACTTTTTCCCATTTTTCTGACAGCATTTGTATTCCACGTCGGAAAAACGAGACGTCTTCTGAGGCTAACCACGAGTTGACACATTTTTTGGCATCATTATAAGAATGAATGTACCATCGATCGGCACAAGTGATAATCCGACAGGACAATGTCTTGTGAATACAGCGAGCCGGGAAAGAATTCCCATTTAAGCGTTTCCAAGTAGCTTTTCACCCGTTTTGCAGCATGTAGTCTAGCGGTGTCTTGTTTTAAAATCACTTCGTCGTTGTCTCTGCTCGTATAGCGGCCTTTTGTCTTCAATGCTCAGTTCAAACGCATCAATTTTAGTCAGTAGAAATCTCCCGTGATGTTTTCGATTGGTTTGAGCAGCTCATAATAAACAACAACCAGAAGATCCCACCAAATGCAGATCAGAAGCTTCGAACCATGGATATTCGGCTTTGCCGCCGATGTTGATGAATGTCCGTGCTTAACCCACGATCTTCTACGCTTAGAGTTATCGTAGTGTATCCACTTTTCATCACCAGTCACGATACGATGAAAAAAAATCTTTCCTTTCCTGCACTTTTCGTTGCTGTTCACACAATACAAGACGCCGTTCGTCGTCTCTCGGCTTCAACTCATACAGCACTCAATGTCCTTGCTTTTGAATCATTCATAATGCTTTCAAACGTTTCGAGACTGTTGTGTGATCAGCTCATAATGATTCTGCAATTTCAGCTTACGCCTGATATGCGCCTTCATGAAGTAATGCTTCCAGTTCTTCGGCTTCAAACTTTTTTGGGGTGCAAGAGCGTTCTTTATCTTCAACATCAAAATTATTATTTTTGAAGCGTTCAAACCAATCCCTGCATATTGTTTCCGAACGAGCATGGTCGCCGTAAACCTCAAAAAGAATTCTGTGTGCTTCAGCTGCAGATTTTTTTAATAAAGTAGTGCAGTAAAATTCCCAGCAAATACACTTTCTTTGGCACAAAATCCGAAATGTTTAACGCTATGAAAAACAAAGTTGTTTACACTTCGGCGAAATGACATACACTGAATTTCAAGCTTGCTTATAGTACTTCCTTATACATCCGTTAACATCTGATACTTCAAGCACGCAGTTCTGGAAACGCTATCTGTTGGAAAACAGCGAAAATTTATTCAAGGTCCTAATATAAATATATATATATATATATATATACACACACACACACACACACACACATATATATATATATATATATATATATATATATATATATATATATTCTATATAAGATTCTAATATTCGAAAAAAAATTACAAATACATATATATATATATATATATATATATATATATAAAGTGAACAATGAAGTCAACGCTCAGAGGCGAGAGGCTGTTTCATGCTGGACGCAATCGTTAGGCGGCCTGATATTGAGCACTTTATCCCATAAATATAGCGCATTTTAAAATTATATTTCATCATATATATATATATATATATATATCTATATGTATGTATGTATGTATGTATGTATGTATATATTATACTAATATTATGAATTTTATGCCCTCCTTAATATTGATCGAGGGACTGTGTTTCTTTTTCAATTTTATATTCTTGTGGAACTTGTTAATCTTTTTATTATTTATAATTAAAATTTATTTTATTTTAATCACCTTCAAACTTTCCTTCCTCTTTCATTATTACTGCTGTGCTTCGATTGTTTTAACTTTCGCCAACGATTGCTTTTGAAAAAGTTTTGGTTGAAAGGATCCTAAGGAAAAAAATGACGTCAATTTTGTTTAAATCTATCTTCTGTTTCTCTAGGTACAAGTGTCTTTATATATATATATTATTCTGTCTATATTATCTATTTCTTTTGTCTATCGATTAAGTCTCTTCGAACACTAATGCGCAAAATTTCATAAAACAACATTTCTATTATATTAGAATCTTTCGAGATAATTTCACTGTTTTACAGCCGTACACGACTGTATAAATGGCAACCCTGACTGGAGTCACGTTATCTCTCTACAACAGCAAATTTATTAGTGTGGAAGAAGTTTCCGAATAAATATTTGAGGGGTCCAACCTGCTCATAACCTTAAGTTGCCAAAGCAGGAAGACGTACTAAAACATTCCAATTAAATCAAAAGAAACACTTTTGTCGGGTTGGTTGTGTTTTGGATGGCGTCTTCGTTCAGTACATACAATTGTTCGCAACTCAAAGAGGCTTCACAATATATAAGTTAACTGTCTGAGCACGGTGTATGAAATGCACATGCTGAACAACTGGTGAATTAGCTTGAACACCTGCTGGGCTGCTCATAGTCAGGTGAGTTGAATTATTGTAAGTTGGATGCATCATGTAATATCCCTTGATCTATGATGTCACGTGTATATAGGGCTAGTGGCTGATCTATACGCAAATAGACTCCCAACACCCGAACCTTGACTTTTGGCGCGGCAGTGTATGTATGCGTGTGATTGAGTATTATATATGTATCTAAATAAATTGTTGATATTTTCCACAAATATTTTTATATATATATATATATATATATATATATATATATATATATATATGTGTGTGTGTGTGTGTGTGTGTGTGTGTGTGTGCACGAACTAAAGTTTGATAGTGTGTACAGGGAACTGTGCGTGAGCTGAGGCTTTTGAAACGAATGGTATGTCTAAGTGAAGGCTCTTAGCCGACAACATTAAATCATTTTGGGCGTACTGAAAAAAATTCTTCCTCGTCTGTGAATTCTAAAACAGGCAGTCTTGAAAAAAAAGGAAGTGAATTAACAACAAAACCACCAGCGACGACGAATGGTTTTCTTTTTGCAAAATGACTATTTGTATGAGGGGAAAAACAAACAAACAAAAAAAACAATACATCATCAGTGATGTTTTTTTTTTTTTTTTGAAAAAAGTTGAAGTATCAAAATTTATCTTCACTTTTACTGAAATAAATCTTCTTCTTCTTCTTCTTCTTCTTCTTCTTCTTCTTCTTCTTCGTGTCTGCTCCTACCTATTCTTGTTCTCTTTCTCTTCCTTCCTCCTCCCCTCGTGTCATCCCCTTCTTACTCTTGTTCCCCTTCTTCTTCTTCTTCTTCTTCGTGTCATGGCTCCTACCTATTCTTGTTCTCTGTCTTCTCCTTCCTCCTCCTCTTCGTGTCGTCCCCCTTCTTACTCTTGTTCCCCTTCTTCTTCTTCTTCTTCGTGTCATGCTCCTTCCTATTCTTGTTCTCTTTCTTCTCCTTCCTCCTCCCCTTCGTGTCACCCCCGTTCTTACTCTTGTTCCCCTTCTTCTTCTTCTTTCTTCTTCTTTTCTTCCTTCCCTTCGTGTCATTCTTACTCTTGTTCCCCTCCTTCTTCTTCTTCTTCTTCTTCTTCTTCTTCTTCGTGTCATTTCCTTGTTCTCTTTCTCCTCCTTCCTCCTCCCCTTCGTGTCACCCCCCTTCTTACTCTTGTTCCCCTTCTTCTTCTTCTTCTTCTTCTTCTTCTTCTTGTCATGCTCCTTCCCTATTCTTGTTCTTTCTCCTCCTTCCTCCCTCTTCGTGTCACCCCCTTCTTACTCTTGTTCCCCTTCTTCTTCTTCTTCTTCTTCGTGTCATGCTCCTTCCTATTCTTGTTCTCTTTCTCCCTTCCTCCTCCCCTTCGTGTCATCCCCCTTCTTACTCTTGTTCCCCTTCTTCTTCTTCTTCTTCTTCTTCTTCTTCTACTTCTTCGTGTCATTCTCCTTCCTATTCTTGTTCTCCCTCCTCCTCCTCCCTTCGTGTCATCCCCTCTTGTTCCCCTTCTTCTTCTTCTTCTTCTTCTTCTTCCTCTTCTTCTTCGTGTCATGCTCCTTCCTATTCTTGTTCTCTTTCTTCTCTTTCTCCTCCCCTTCGTGTCATCTCCCTTGTTCCCCTTCTTCTTCTTCTTCTTCTTCTGTCTTCCTTCCCCTTTCTTGTTCTTCTTTCCTCCTCCCCTTCGTGTCACCCCCTTCTTACTCTTGTTCCCCTTCTTCTTCTTCTTCTTCGTGTCATGCTCCTTCCTATTCTTGTTCTCTTTCTCCTCCTTCCTCCTCCCCTCGTGTCATCCCCTTCTATTGTTGTTCCCCTTCTTCTTCTTCTTCTTCTTCTTCTTCTTCGTCTTCTTCTTCTTCTTCGTGTCATGCTCCTTCCTATTCTTGTTCTCTTTCTCCTCCTTCCTCCCTCCTTCGTGTCACCCCTTCTTACTCTTGTTCCCCTTCTTCTTCTTTTTCTTCTTCTTCTTCTTCTTCTTCTACTTCTTCTTCTTCTTCTTCTTCGTGTCATGCTCCTTCCTATGCTTGTTCTCTTTCTCCTCCTTCCTCCTCCCCTTCGTGTCATCCCCCTTCTTACTCTTGTTCCCCTTCTTCTTCTTCTTCTTCTTCGTGTCATGCTCCTTCCTATTCTTGTTCTCTTTCTTCTCCTTCCTCCTCCCCTTCGTGTCATCCCCCTTCTTACTCTTGTTCCCCTTCTTCTTCTTCTTCTTCTTCTTCTACTTCTTCTTCTTCTTCGTGTCATGCTCCTTCCTATTCTTGTTCTCTTTCTTCTCCTTCCTCCTCCTCTTCGTGTCGTCCCCCTCTTCCTTCCCCTTCTTCTTCTTCTACTTCTTCTTCTTCTTCTTCGTGTCATCTCCCCTATTCTTGTTCTCTGTCTTCTCCTTCCTCCTCCTCTTCGTGTCGTCCCCCATCTTCTCTTGTTCCCCTTCTTCTTCTTCTTCTTCTTCGTGTCATGCAATTCTTGTTCTCTGTCTTCTCCTTCCTCCTCCTCTTCGTGTCAACATCCCCTTCTTCTTCTTCTTCTTCTTCTTCTTCTTCTTCTTGTCTGGCTCCTAAACAATCTTCTCCTTCCTCCTCCTCTTCGTGTCGTCCCCCTCTTACTCTTTGTTCCCCTTCTTCTTCTTCTTCTTCTTCTTCTTCTTCGTGTCATGCTCCTTCCTATTCTTGTTCTCTGTCTTCTCCTTCCTCCTCCTCTTCGTGTCGTCCCCCTTCTTACTCTTGTTCCCCTTCTTCTTCTTCTTCTTCTTCTTCTTCTTCTTCTTCGTGTCATGCTCCTACCTATTCTTGTTCTCTGTCTTCTCCTCCTCCTCTTCGTGTCGTCCCCCCTTCTTAAATCTTCTTCTTCTTCTTCTTCGTGTCATTGATTCTTGTTCTCTGTCTTCTCCTTCCTCCTCCTCTTCGTGTCGTCCCCTTCTTATTCCCCCTTCTTCTTCTTCTTCTTCTTCTTCTTCTTCTTCTTCTTCTTCTTCGTGTCATGGCTCCTCCTTTCTTGTCTGTCTTCTCCTTCCTCCCTCCTCTTCTATCTCCCCTTCTTCTTCTTCTTCATGTCATGCTCCTCCTTCCAGTGTCGTCCCCCCTATGTTGTTCCCTTCTTCTTCTTCTTCTTCTTCTTCTTCTTCTTCTTCTTCGTCACTTCTTGTTCTCTGTCTTCTCCTTCCTTCCTTTCATAATTCTTCTCTTTCTTTTATTCCTTTTCGTGTCACCCCCCGTTCTTCTTCTTCTTCTTCTTCTTCATCTTCTTCTTCTACTACTCTACTACTAGCCTCTCTCCACAACATCTTTTCTTTATTTAAATATGAGTGTGCCAAATTCTCCAAGCCGTCTTCCCTCGTTTCCAGAAATTTGAACTGTCGCTTCTTTTATGTGCCTTATCTCTTCAGGATATGTGAGATCCTAGCTCTGAACGACTTCTTTTATTTATAATTCTGAGTAAAATTTATCTTTTATACTCGGTGCCCTCAGTCCACTCCTCATACTAGCCTCAACCTTTAAAAGTGCCAGATAAGGCCGCAATGGAGTCCTGCTGCCATATATGGACAAGAGCTGCCTATTCGTAGCTTTTCAGTCTCGATAGAGTCCAAAAGCGTCACCGTGTCCTTGTAGGTGATTATTTTTCACCCTACAACCACTTTCCCACAGACGAAACGTCGCAAAACCCTCGCTGCTCTTTCGCTATTTCAATGGAAAGTCTTCAGGCTAACAACATTCCTTAGTTCAAACAGTTCTAAACTCCACGGTATAACTCACCATGCCACGGACATTGTCGCGAAACTAACCCATTCCTTTCATATTCCATCGGTGAGATGTAAGTTCCACTCGAGCAGTTTCTTCCGACGAACCGCTGGTGTTTCGACCCGACTTCCCTGGGGATTCTTCCCCGATCAATGTAGTATTCAAGTCTAGGGTTAGCGGTTATCTTCTCTGAATATTTCGATAAACTTTGACTCTTACTCTGTAAGCCTCTAACTCGAGAGGTTTTCGGGCCTTGTACAGTGTAAACATCACTAAAAGACATCCTACTCCCTGTTCTGTCGTTCAGTTACACAAGTTTGTTAGGTTAATTGCTCACTGTTTCTATCTGCTCTCTTACGTTCAATGTGTTTGTGTTAGATTCTCAAAGACCCATTTGCCTAGTATTTTAACTTTCATTTTCTGATGCAAAGAATAAAAAAAGCCCTTTTCGCTCCTATTTTCTTTAAACTTTCTTCATCACTCAGATCCTTCTATAGGGGGCTGACGTCCATATCACGTTGAAACACCCAATGAATAACGAATCGAAATTGAATATGGAGATCAACATTCTAATTCGCGTTAGGTTCATTATATTCACTTATACGCAAATAGGCTTCGAAAAGATTTGAATCTAACACTTTCTCCCCAGCTATGGGTTAATTAGTAGAACTTGTCTAAATAAGAAGTTATTCTCTAAAAAAAAAAAAAAACTTATTGTCTTTTGTAATGTCAACGAACACTCGTTGTCACTTTCGTAATGCTCGTTGTAATAGAGACTTTGTAATCGCAGATACAACTAGAGTACGCCGTTTAAAAATGCTGGTGTTAGCCGCTTTCGAATAACATTTGCACTAGTAGTACTTACTCGATAACACTCGTTCGAATAGTAATTCGTATCTTGAGATCCGAATTGAGAAATACTATAGTGAATAGAATAATAATAGAAGATAGAGTAGAAATGGCGATCCAAATAATAACAGAGGATAGAATAGAAATACCGATCCGAAAAGTAATCAGTATAGACTAGAAATACGATCACTTAGATGTCACGCTACTTCCCATATATGCGTTTCCCATATGGTCAAGTTGTCTGCTTAATTCAATAATGGGATCGCCTGTGTTTGGTGACTGGCGATCTATGTTCAAACTCAAGTGTCGGCAGCGACACTTTATTCCTATATAACTGTTATGGGACCTTACCCAAAATAACATAATGAACTATTCCATACGTAATAAATACTGCGCCTCAAGAGGAAGCAGAGAGTTCAGTCTGAAGTCTGGAGTGAAGTCCGTCAGAAATCTTTCAGTCAGTCAGAGCGAGCGAGTCAGTCAGTCGAGTCATAGGCAGTCCGAAACAGAGTCGCGTTCAGACAATTACTACTAAACCTGATTGTTCGTACTAACACTTTCTACTTCTCTGTATATATTCCTGTTTGTAATATATCTGTGTTATTCCATATCCGTGTTCGAGTTCTTCTTTATTGGTTCTACCTTGGACTATCACCGTGGTACAAGGAACCGGACCATAACAAAAGGATAATCTAAAAATATTTTCTTGTTTAAAAAAAAAAAAACTGCAATGTTTGATAAGCTGTATAAAACAACATTATATCTACGTTCTATTAAACCTACAATACCGGGTGTAACAGCAAAATTGTCCAATTGTTGGATTAAGCTTTGAACAATTGCATCTTAGATTTAATCATAAGTATCTTCTTAGAATACCCGAGGTTTTTATGGCAATATTGAACTCAGCTTAGAACAATAAGAATATATTTAGCTCTAAGATGAAATGATGATCCCTCTTGCTGTTGTGACCTCCTGATCTAGTTTTCCTCACTTCTGACTCCTATTTTTTTAAACTTATTACTTATTCTCTTGATGGGGTTTTAATGGACTTTCAAGTGGGAAGCTAGATTATGAATTTTGGTACGATTACTGAAGTCCAGAATGACGCTATTTACCAACTGCCCCACGCAGTCACGTGTGGCACAAGGCCGAATTTAAAGTGGGGTTCCCGAGCCCGTAGGCCCGGCCAAAAAATCCCCGTAGACCCCGCATAAACGGGATCGGGTCTGTCTACCTCCCCAGACGAAACTCAGTCCTTCGGCATAACCTCGTCCGGGTTCCTCTCTGCCCGAAGGCAGAGAGTTCGACTAACGCAGCTGGGAAAGATCCCAGCGCGACTCTAGATTTTCCAAGCATAGCTTAGATGTGGCACAAGGCCGAAATTAGGGAGCACCCAGTGAGAATCGAACTCACTACTCAGCCGTAATTGTTTTAGCTAGACAAGCTTGCTAACCATTACGCCACCTCGAAGTCCTGAATGACTTTTTCCTCTCACCATTGCTCAGTTGGTGAGACATAGTGCGGCTGATACGAAAACGATTTTAACCTGTTCTCTTTCTAGCTGAATAACTTAAATGGTTTTTCAGTGATTCTTACAACTCATGCTATCAAGATGGCTAAACGTCTTATCTCAAAACCCGGCAAAAAGAAACTGAAATAGTTTAGTGCATTTTCCGATATTAAACATTTTGTGGATAGACAATTATTCCATGCTATTACCCGGTTTGAACAATTTTAGTGTTACACCCGGTAGAACCAATGGGCTTTGTGGCGTGATGGATAGCGGCTCGGAATGAGAAATCAGAGAGCCGAGTTCGAATTCTTGTCGAGTTCGTAAGATTCACTTAAACGCGAATAACCTTGGGGAAGGTGTGAATCGATCTCTTCTCCCTCCAGACTGAATTCTATCGTCTTGGTTGGCAACCAGTCACGCGTAGAAGAAATGGCAAACTACTCGATGTAATCGATCAAAAGGGACTTAATCGCTCAAGCGTTTATCAAGTATGGTATTTAACTGACTGCTAGAACGAAACCTCTATTATCTGTTCTTCATCCACGTGGAAATTGTCCATCATTCATGGCCATTCCTATTACTAGTGTTTGTTCTATACAAACCCCAAGTTACACTCGAGTTATTGAATGATTTTCTTGTGTGAGCAGTCTATCAGTTGTAACAATACGAAATACTTTCAGCCTTCGATATGATCTTACAGATTACAAATATAAAAATAATGCAAGTAAAAAAAAAGATGTTTGGACAGACATTGAAAAATGTGACGTAGATATTTAAAAATAAGAATTGACATGAAGAAAAACGTCTTCAAAAACCGAACAAAGTGTTAAGAGAATTTCATTTGAAACTAAGGTTTGGTTTGCTTTGTCTAACGGCATATCAACCTCAATGTGTTTTTTAATGCCGAGAAGATGATGTATTACCGGTAGTATTGTTTTTTCAAAAATGTATTGCTGGTAATATTTGCTTTTCAAAAATGTATTTCTGTTGACAAATGTATTGCTGCCAATAATGTATTGTTGGTAATATTTATTTCTAAAAAATATATTGTTGGTATTAAAACCTATTTTTACAATTTTGACCACCATAGCAAACAGGTGCTACCACTCCAGATCAGGGTGGACCTGGGAACTACCAAAAGAGGTATCTCCACGCTCCTCAAAACCCCTTGATCTGAGGCCTTGCTACCGGATGTAGTTTATAGCCATACCCGGGACGGTTTAACAAAGAAAAGCGTATTGGATTTCTATGTTATTAATCCTTCTATCTAGTAAATAGCTAACTCCTATTGCTATGCTCTAAGTATACAAAAGAAATATCAAGCCAACGAATGACGTACTGCTTACATATCAGGTTTGGAGATGACCAGTCTTCACTTCCGAGTCATGATAGCGTCGAAAAGCCTCTATACGGCCTTGTCAATGCTGAATTATTTTCTACCCTGCAACATATTTCCCATAGGCGGAACGTTCCAAACCTCTCACTATTCTATCGATATTTCCATTGAAATTATTCAGACGTACCCTGAGGCGAACCAGTGTCTTTCCTTCGTATTCCATTAGTGCAAAGTAAGTTTCACTCGAATAGTTTCTTTGTGGAGCCGAATCTCAAAAGGATGCGTCCCATCACTACAATCCTACGATGGTGTTATGGACCAAGGTTAGGACCATGGAAGAACAACACGAAACACAACATTAGAAATAACAAAGAATATATTACACAAGAAATAATACAGGAAGTGAAAGGATTAGTAAGACTGTCCGACTGGTTTGGCGTGACTGCTATCAGCTCGACACGATTTAATAGCGTACTAATACCGTTCGTCTCTCTTGAGAGGCGTAGTATGTATATCGTTCGGAAGATTTCATTCTGTCAGTCTAGGTAGGCACCATAACAGATGGTCAAGTCTACGCTTAACCATTACTTTTCCTACATATGCACAGGTGGGGGTGTAATGGTTAACAAGCTTGTCTCGCTAGAACAATTACGACTGAGTAGTGAGTTCGATCGCTCACTGGGTGACTCCTAGTTTCGGCCTTGAGCCACATCTAAGCTACGCTTGGAAAATCCCTATGCACATAAACTCTTACACTTAAAAGAACCTTCAGTAACTCTCTGCCTTGAGTGGCTCTTTTTTATTTCACGAGGCCAGGTCTCTTTTAGACAGTCCGCTGGCGTTATTGTGTGGCATTATACATGATATCTCTACTAATTATTGTAATAGATTTTATCTTTCACAGCAAATCGTTGGGTTTGTGAGTCTCACCGACCAAGCACACGGTGGTTAATTGTAAGCGTGCTGGTGATCGATTTAAATAAACATGTCGGGAATCGAAGGATAGGAATTAATTACGAGGAGCTAAAATAAACAATTAGAAATTGCTTTATGCATCGGTGATTTAGTTTAATGCGATTGGGTCAGTCATTGTTCGTCGAGTGATCCACGGACCTTTTCCTTCAACGGGCTCAAGCCTTGTGTTGATTAAATACGCTCCACTTAACAATAGAGATCAAAGAATGCAGGAAAGGTCGAGACCCAGCCAATCAAAATACGAGAAAAGAATATCGAGTGGGGATTTGACAAATGGTTGAAAAGCAACAACAAAACGAACAATGTAAATTTGGACCACAATGAACAATTACAGAGCGGAGGTTGGAAAAAGAAAAGACATTCTTTAACATGAAAACGTTTGAAAAAAAAGAAGTGTTTTGAAAACTGGAGTAACGGTGGAGGAGGCGGTTGATGAGGATGGAGAACAAAGAAAAGAAAGAAAGAAGTTTGGATGGGTTGACGATGTTAAGAGGGAAAGGACAAGACATGAGAATGGAAAGAAAGAATAAGTGAAATAAATAAATATAAATAAATATTCATAATCAAATGATTAAGGATAATTAAGCGATAAAGAAGAAGAAGAAGAAGAAGAAGAAGAAGAAGAAGGAGGAGGAGGAGGAGGAGAAGAAGGAGGAGGGGAGGAAAAGGAGGATGAGGAGAGGGAGGAGAAGAAGAAGAGGAAGAAGAAGAAGAAGAAGGAGGAAGAGGAGGGGAGGAAAAGAAGAAGAAGAAGAAGAGGAGAAGAGGGAGGATGGAAGAAGGAGAAGGAGGAGGGGAGGAAAAGAAGGAGGGGGAGGAGAGGGCGGAGAAGAAGAAGAAGGAGGAGGAGGAGGAGGAGAAGAGTGAGGAGAAGAAGAAGGAGGAGGGGAAGAAAGAGAAGGAGGAGGGGAGGAAAACAAGAAGAAGAAGAAGAAGAAGGAAATAACACACACACAAACACTAAACAGAGACACATCCCCTCTCCAGGACCAATAAAACTGTCAAACTGACCAGAGAATTCAGAGTAACATGTATCTATCCAGCTCTTATCTCAAATAACAACTTAAAAGAGACTGTTTGACCAACACAAGGAATGTTAAAAGATTCATGTTAAAAAGATAAAAAAAAAATAAAAATACAAATGAAAACTACAGACAAAAGTTAATTTTCTCCAGCAAAAGATTCATTTCTGTAGTTTACTGCTACCAGCAAGCAGAAATATTTCTTCTCCCGGTGATGGCCATTTTGGCCGAAACTAGTCGAGGAATCTAAATGAAATAATAATAAAAAAAAAACGAAAGAATATCAATCTACAACCCAGTGTGTCTGAAGATTTTAATTTTTTAATATTTTTTATTGTTCAATATATATATATATATATATATATATATATATATATATATATATATATATATATATATATATATGAAGCAAAACACTAGAACTCGATATCAAAAAGGAAGCTAAAGAAATCGCCCCAAAATTAGACCTAGATGACCGAATAAGTTGCAACAGTAAGACGCAAGCCTTTATCACACTAAAAGACAACAAAGAAAATTTCAAAACCAAATCTGCACGCAGACTCATAAACCCGACTAAAAGAGAAAGAGGTAAAATAAGTAAAACGATACCAGAAAGAATTAATTCTGAACTAAGGAAGATGTTTGGAGTAAATCACTGGAAAAACACAAAAGCAACTATTGACTGGTTCCACAACATAAATAACAAATATAATTGCCAGTTTATACAATTAGACATAAAAGAATTTTACCCATCCATAGCAGAATACATGCTAGATAAAGCCATCACCTTAGCTCAGGAAAAAAAAAAAATAAACACAAACGAAATCGATGTCATTAAACACTCTCGTAAATAACTACTATTCCACAATGAAGACGCATGGATGAAGAAAGAAGGGATCTTTGACACTAAATTGGGAAGCTTTGACGGGGCCTATCCTTCGAAAACATAAGTATATATTTACTACACAAACTATGCAAAATGATGGATAAAAATGGTACAGGACTCTACAGTGACGACGATCACATAATCTTAAGAAACTATAACAAACAAAACACAGACAAAACTAGAAAAGCAATAATAAAGATTTTCAAAATAACGGATTCGACATAGTTAAAAAAATAAAAAACTAACTTAAGCGAAGTAGATTTTCTAGATGTTACCTATGAAAAGGCACATATAAAACATAGAGAAAACCCAGTGATAAAGCACTATATATACACACATCTTCCAATCACCCGCCTTAAATAATCAGATATCAAAATCAATTAACTGCAGGTTTTCCGACAATTCTTCCAATGAAATAATATTTAACGAAGCTAAGAAAGACTACGAGACAGCCTTAAAAGATAGCGGAATTCCAGCAACACTCACATACTTATCACAGGGCACAAAAAAGGTCATCTGGAAGAGAAATAGCATAGAGCCCAAACGAAAAAACAAATGTAGGTAAAATATTCTTCAAACTCTTACAAAAACACTTCCCGGAATTTAGCACTCTACACAAAATATTCAATAAAATGACCGTATAAATCAGCTACAGTTGCACCGAGAACATGGCACAAATAATAAAAAAGCATAACAGGAAAACTATCAGCAAAACACACGAACAAATTGGATCCACGTGTAAATGTAGAATAAGGAATGAATGCCCCTTAAACGGTAATTGCTTACAAAACAACGCAATATACCAAGCAATGGTAAAATCACCACATAATGAAGAAAAAGTATACATAGGAGTAACTGAAGGACCGTGGAAACAAAGAAACTATGCACACAAAAAATCTTTCACAAACAGTAAATTCGCTAACAGCACAATGCTTTCTAAGTATATCTGGGAAATTACAAACAGAACGCAAACCACACCAAAAATATCATGGAGAATAAAGATCATCAGCCTACAAAAATCAATCAAAAACCTGCAAACTTTGCTTGGAGCTAAAAAGAACCATTATTACTCTCCCAGACCAAAATAAATTACTAAATAAACGATCTGAGCTCATCTCAAAATGCAGACATGAAAACAATATTTTACTACATTAGTTAAAAATGGAAATCAAAAAAGAATAAATGAAAATAAAGAAAATAATAATAAAAATCAAGTAAAATATATTAACCCAAGCAAATAATAAACAAATTAACAAACTACTCCCATTAGAATAAGCGAAATATAATAAATAAAAAAATACATAAAAATAAAATAAAAATAATCAATCCAAATAAATAAATAAAATAAATAATAATGGAGTTAGCAAACCAACCCCAGCAAAAAACCGTTAGAATAGACTACAAAAATCGATCCAAAAATTGGACGAAAAAATAGCAATGACGGCTATATAACGATAAAAAAAAACATAGAAAATTACTACGTTGCTATAAATTCGAAAACCGAAAAGAGTAAATAAAATATACATAATAAAAAATAAGTAAATGAATAAGAAAAAAACAAGTAAAATAAATTAATCGAAATAAATAAATAAATGAATAAATTAACAAACAGGTCCCGCTAAAATAACCGTTAGAATAAATAAAAATTAAAATAAATAAGCAAAAACGAGTAAAATTAATCAATCCAAATAAATCAATAAAATAATAAACAAATTAAAATTTGTCTCCGCCAAAATAACAGAAATCAATCCAAAAATTGGACGAATAAATAGCTTTAATTATCTTCCACGACAAACTATTAAATAAGCGACCTAAGCAAAATCCACCAAATTTTTACTACGTTAATAAAACATCGAAAACCGAAAAGAATAAATAAATATATAAAATAAAAAATGAAAATAAATAAAAACAAATAAAATAAATTAATCCAGATAAATACATAAATAAACAAGCCACTCCCGCCGAAATAACCGCCAAAATGGACTACCCACAATGCACCACTTACCCATCTATATAAATAGATTGCGTCTAGCATGAAACAGTCTGTCGCTTCTGAGTGTTGGTTTCAATGTTCATTCACACACACACACACACACACACACATATATATATATATATATATATATATATATATATATATATAAATGGCTCATGAAAATCTAAATCACTCTGAAAGCATTCGGTAATTTAGGTTCAAACTCTGACTGGAGATGAAGAGAGACTAAACAAGTGCTTTCATCAAGCTTTCACTAAAGTTGCGTGCCCACGTGTGTGTATATACTTGTGTGTGCGTGTGTGTGTGTGTATACCTTTGTGTTTGTGTGCATGTGTGTGTGTGTGTGTAAGAGAGAGGGGGAGGGAAAGAGAAGTCGGTGATGATAATGATGGCAAAGAAATGCATGATGATGATTTTGTGCCAAAAAGAAAAACGAGAATTACGAGAAGACGACGACGGCGAAGAAGGAGGAGGAGGAGGAGGAGGATGGTGTTTTGCAATAACGTCTGCAGACAAATGAAAAAAAAAATACATTTAAAGGCACAAAACCAGGAAAAATAATAACGAAGCAAAACGTTTTCTTTCATTTTTTTCTTCTTTTAATGAATAATTTTCGTTAATACCCACTGTTCTTTTATGAAGAATGCTGAAGCTAATGCCTCCTGCATTTCACTGATTAGAACCGGATGAATTTAAACAAGGGAAACTGGCATTCTAGAAAAGTTTCGTGTGTGATAAGTCAGAGATTTGGTGAGAGAATTAGAGACAATTTATTTAAGCAATGAAAAGAAAGAGACAATGAGAGAAAGAGAGGGGGGTTGTTAAAGAGTGCGTATCCGTGTGTATTTAACTAAAAACCTAAACATCTAAACACACATAAAAATAATTAATAACGTTTATTAAAAAAAACCCCAAAAAACTAGAAAGCATCAATTAGAAAAATGGTAAGAGAAAAGCAGAGATGCAAGATTAAAAATAAAAGCACTTCTCGAAGTGGATCAATCTTAAGCAAATTTACAATTCTTTATTGAGTTTTATTTTCATTGCGTGCTGCACAATTGCGGCCTTGTGTTTGACTAAGCTAAGCTTAGTATGTAATAAACGGTATAAAGACAAAAATGGTAAACGAAAATGCAAACTGGTTCTATTTTGTTTTCTGAGACTGTTGCGTATTTCGAACTGATGCTAAAGGTAAATTTCAAGCTTCGGCGAAAGTCAGATTCTTAGTAGTTTAAGCCAGGTCGGATCTATGTTCTTGGAGAAACATAACTTTCCTAGTTCCGTTTCTCTTTCGACCGGTCTTCAAGTGATATTCACTAAGCTAATATTAGTGAATATCAGTACGAAAGGAACGTTGAAATAGATGTGGACAAAGAGAATGGATAGAAGGTGGCGTATTAAAATGTGAAGGAAAAGAAAGAAAAAATAAAAATAAAAAAAACAAAGAAGTAGAATTGGCAGAAAGAAGTGAAAAATAAAGGACGAAGGCAACAAAAAAAGAATTAAAATTGAAAGAAAGAAAGAAAGAAAGAAAGAAAGAAAGAAAGAAAGAAAGAAGGAAACAGAATTAAAATTGTCAGAAAGGAGCAAGGAAGCGGCGGGTAAAGAGATAAAGAAAGAAACAAATAAAGAAGTAACATTGAAAGAAAGGTAAGTAGGAGAAAAGATAGAATAAAGAAAGGGGATACTGGGAGAAAGGATTGCTAAATAAAGAAAGAACGAAAAAAAAAAGGGAAAATAGTAATACAGAGCAACGTCGGTTCTCCAACATCTCACATGTCGAACATATCACTTTTCGAACAGAAAAATTGAAATGAAAATGCCTCGGTTATCGAACAAAATTTCGGTTCTTGAACAACATTACCGACCCGAGTCGAACCGAGTCCATCCGAGCCGAACCGAGTCGAACCGAGTCCATCCGAGTTAACCCGAACGACATCAATTCTGAGTCGACCGCCATGTTGTATACATTCTTATGTTCGGCTGTTCTTTACTTTTCCAATTTTATTCTACTGTGCCTTTTTTATTCTCTTCATTAACCTTTAGTCATGGCTCCAAACAAAGCTAACAGTAAAGGAAAATGAAAAGTTGAGAGAAAAAAAATTGCTGATGATATTGTCTCTTCCTACTCAGTTTACTATGGCAAAATCGACGATCTATACTATTTTTATAAATAAAGAGACGATCATGTCTTTTCTTCCCCTTTTCCAAGCAATAACATCTCTTTCTTTCCCCTTCCAAACTACCTTCCTCTTACGCCATCAACTCTCCTCCTTACAAGTACGGTAAAATTAAAGTGTTTGCCTATATTATATCTATTTAGTATTGGGTTTATTTATATTTTCTTAGATTTGTGTATGAACTTGTGCACAAAGTACGGTTGTAGAAGTTGAAATAAACAATCATTTTGAGACAAGGAACGGTTTAATTCATTTTACATTGATTCCTATTGGAAAAATAGTTTCGGTTTACGAACATTTCGGGTTACGAACGGGCTTCAGGAACGAATTAAATTCGTGATCCGAGGTTCCACAGTACAATTGACAGACACAAAACAAGTAAGGAAAATTGACAGAAAGAAAGAAAGAATAAAATAAAGAATTAAAATCGACAGAAAGTTGCGAGAAAGCCGGAGCTAAATAAATAAGCGAAATTGAAAGAAAGAGGAGTATCAAAGAAGGAGAACAGATAGAATGGGAAGGGAAAAGAAAGAAAGAAAAGAAATGACTTTGAGAAAAAGAAGTGATCAAGAGGTGGAAAAAGAAAACAACAACAACAAAAAAAAGAAAGAAAAGGAAGAAGAGTAACTCGATACATAAGAGGCACGTACGAAGGGAAAAGGTTAAGATGGTATAAGTGTGAGTCACGATCCGATGTCTCATTGCCTCACTTCGGTCGCTAGAGGGAAGCAAAGCGATTATGAGATTTGGCTCAGATCAGTGTTGCAGATCAAATTTATCTCGCTTGACTTAATTAACTGAACAGTGCATATGTTGAACCTCACGTAATTGTTCCCAGTAAGGTCATAAAGTTACTTCCTGATTTTATTTTTACAAACTAGCTTTTCGGTACGAAAACTGCTCATTAATAATAAAAGCCAGAAATCATCGAAATTTTAACATTACTAACTGTATTACAGAGTGCTAGCAGGGTAGCGTATATCAGCGTGCCAGGTTAAAAACGTATCCTGCTGCTTTCAAATCGCGAGAATCCATTTAATTCCCCCGATCTATGGGTTAGATATCAAGGTAGATTGGGCTGGGCAGACTTTGTTGGTTATCACATAAAGAGAATAAAAGATTTTGATTAAAAATCTTGGAGAATGCAACCCGATAACACTCCACTATTTTTTCCATAAAGCCATGACATTTCATAGATAACAAAAAAAGGAAATTGCGGAGAGCCATGATCGTCTACGTTCTAAGGAAGAGAGGGTAAAAGAATGAGTGAGAGGGAAAGAGAGAGCTTCACTACGTGCGCAATAGAAGATTTGATAATGTATTTAATATCTGTTTTGATAAAAAGTTGCTAATTTCAAATCTTTTCAACACCCTGTCAAATCCTCATAAATAAAGGACTATTACGCTTTGCTCAGCTGGAAATATAGAAAAGACATATTAAGGACGTTACTTGGTTTTAGTGAGAGAATGAAAGAATGAAGAAAAGAACGGAAGACAGAAGAGGCAATAATACTCTCATGTGTTTCATATCTGTTACACGGAATTGAAAAATTTGCCAATTTGAAATCTTTTTTTTATTTAGTACTTTAAATAATGTCCAGCATTAATATTTATGATTGTTATTTTAATATTTTGTTAAAGTTGTTTAGCTGAAGTATTTAAAGATGTGTTAGGGAAATGTCTACGGATATTTTATCGTCATAAAAATCATCATCACATTATTCAATCATTAACTTAAGAATAAAGTTTCGTCAGAAAATGAAAATAGGTAAACCATGAAATTCTCTCAGGTAAAAAACTAGTAATAATATAATACATGGTTCTTATGGATCATTTAATGTTATGGGACCTTACCCATAAAAACATAATGGATTATTCCATACGTAATGAATACTGCGTCTCAAGAGGAAGCAGGGAGTTCAGTCCGAAGTCGGGCGACCGGCTGATCGGTTGAACTCTCTGTCTTCGGGCGGGGAGGAACCCAAACGAGGCTACGCCGAAGAGCGGAGTCTCTTTCGGGGAGGTAAACCGACCCTGAACCCGTTTATACGGGTTGAAAGGGCATATTTTTGGCCGAGCTTACGGGCTCGGAGATCCCACGTTAAACAGGCCTTGTGCCACATGATGCCCTCGTGTGGGGGGTGACTAAATACTGTTCAGGCTGAGGTCTGGAGTGAGGTCCGTGAGGAGTCTGTCAGTCAGTCAGAGCGAGCGAATCAGTCAATCGAGTCAGAGGCAGTCCGTAACAGAGTCGCGTTCAGACAAGTACTACTAAACCTGATTGTTCGTACTAACACTTTTCTACCTCTCTGTATATATTCCTGTTTGTAATATATCTGTGTTATTCCATATCCGTGTTCGAATTCTTCTTTATTGGTTCTACCTTGGACTATCACCGTGGTACAAGGAACCGGACCATAACATTTAATTAATTGACTGGATTTGTAAGCATGTGTATATTTAGTTCTGTAGAATAAAGACGATATAATATAAATATCGCATTTAGTGTCCCAGATTTCCTGGTTATTTGCTTGACCCTAATCCGTTCGGCTTGTTTGTGAGCGGGAGTTGTTGGCGCCATTATGGCAAGGGGTTCGATTGTTTTGTTTTAGTTTAGAGGAAGATACGTTGGAGAAGAGGAGTTGGGAGTCACATCATCAGGCTTAGAAATGGACTCCGATCTGAAAGGATTTCCAACTGGGCTCCAGTTTCATGCTTAAACGCTGATTTTAGCAAAAATATCGCGCATATTTCGGAGTGATGAAAGTGCCTGGTATACACCTATCAAACTATGTGTGATGAGAGACATACTAGGGATCGTCTGACTGCATCCAAGTATCACATTTTTGGCGTACTGTTCCCTTGTACATTAATAATAGTAATGAGATTTTTGGAAACCGAGAAAAATCGAGAACTGTCCAGACAAAAACGTTATTAAAAATCTACTAATGTTATAACGAATTTAATATAGGAAATTAATCTTAGAATAGGTTTTGCCAGAGGTAGTTTGACACAAAACCGCAAATTTCTATGAAATCAAAACAAAATTGTGAAATCATTTTGCAAAATAGTCTCATCAGATGGAGATTTTTATATGGATGTGTAGTGCCTTAAACGTAGTATCAGTAACAGCCCTGAGGTTATAAAAACACTCTCTTCCGGTTTTCCCTCCATTCGAAGTGTGTGGCATTAACTTTTCACACCGAATCAAAACGGACGGTGGACGCTTTACACACAAACAAAAAAACACGAACAAGTCACACTCAAATACATTCATTATCAATTATCGTTGTGCATTCAATTAATTTCTAGGAAAAAATCTCTTAAATTTTGCATTTTTTTTTATATTGCATTGCAAATAAATCAGCCTCTCTTATTTCATCAATGTACATTTTCACCAACATTATTCCATGTATTGTAAAATATTCCCATAAGAAACCTTATACATTAATTGTAAAAATAGCCAACACACTAAAGATGTCATGAATAGCGGCCAAACTCATTCAGATATATCTAAACTGTCATCTGTATACAACGAATTTCTCGGATCACTGGTTAAAATGGTTCTGAGCGAATGAAACCTATAAATCTTAGGGAGGACAACGCTTCTTTATTGTGGACTGGCGTTACAAAATCATTAAGTACTGTACCAGATAAAAGAAACCTCATCACTTGAGAACTTTCAACAGCAGTAACGACTAAAATGCATAGCACATGTAGCATGAAGAGAAAACAATAACACAAACAAGATGTCACACAGTACCCCCAAATATAAGAGAAGGGAGAAAGTCTCCATTAATACTGGAAAGACTGATAACAGTTCCGGCACTTGAGAAATGTATTTTTCTGAAAAATTATTTAATCAAAAGTTAAAAGAAAAAACCAGATGTAGCACTGGCTATGGATGCCGAATGTTTCCTTATAAGGGAAACGAGTAATACTATCACCACCATCGCCTATATTTTTAGGACAGTTTTGAATTTGTGAAGAGGTTTGCTGTCAGTTGGTATATATTGAAAACTAACACAAGTAACGGATGTGAAAAACGAGAAAAGAAACAATGTAATAAAGAAAGAAAGAGACATAATCTGATAAATTAGGGTAAATCTGATTAATTTAGTTAGAATAAAAAGGATTGTAGTTAAAAAAAAAAAAAAAAAGAATCACACAGTTCTTTATATTTCTTCATTTACTGTTCTTTTTTATCCCCAGAAAAGAAGAGTTCTTGTCCGTTGAATTGGCGCTACACCTTTTCCTTCTTTGCGTGTGTTTTTTTTTTCTCGCGCGGCTAACAATATATTCTATTATGAGACCCATTATGCACTCTGTCACCTTCTACGGATTAAAATAGCTTCCTCTATATTTCAAGAAAGAGAAGGAAATATTCAATTCAATTCTTTACCAAAGTAATGAAGCATTATTGGCTTAAAGTATTTTTCTTTTATATCGAATCTTCAAATGCTAAGAATCTCTTATGGATTCCAAATTTCAAATTCTACCATTATACAAAATAAAGCTTTCTTATTTTAGATCTTATATATAAGAGTTGTTTAACACTTGACCGACGGCATATACTGCCAGAAATGTCCTGTAGCCATTGATAATGATATCTCAGCCGATATTTCTGTCCTCTTGCGACAGCTTACGTAATATCACGCAAGGCATGTCGTTGTCTTGGTGAGTATGACGTATAATGCGAGAAATATTCATTGTCTTCCAAAGACCAGGGAATATTAAAAAAAAAACTCATAAAACTTTTTTACACTTTTGAAGGTAAAATTAATTACAAATAAGAACTATATCCAACATTTTTTCACCTATCTAAAACCTTTTTTTTGTGGGGGGGGGGTCGAAAGAACAGGGATCTTCTTTTATTAACTTTTCTCAAATCTCTCTCTCTCTATATATATATATATAGATATATATTAAGATATTTTTATGTTTAACATTCTTTTTATAGATACAAATATTTAAGTAAATGCTCTGTTTATAATAAACAGTATTAAACAACATTTACCGGCCTGAATGTCCGAGAAATTTTCACAGAAAATATTCGTCCACCGACAGGATTCGAACCTGTATCCTATACGGAACCGTCATTTAGCTTGACGTGCCTTTTTTACCAATTTGGCCACAGAGGCGCGTTCAGTTATATATATATATATATATATATATATATATATATATATATATATATATATATATATATATATATATATATATATATATATATATATATATATATATATATATATATATATATATATATATATATATATATATATATATATATATATATATATATATATATATATATATATATTAGGGGTCGAATAAGCATCATTTTCTGTATTCCATTGGTTGGAAGCAAATTTCACTCAAGCAGGTTCTTTACTCAAACTGGAAAATAATTCCAAGAGCATGCTACTCCGATAATTACGATTGTAAACTCTTCAAGTCTAGGGTAAAATGGTATCTATCCTACCTATCTTCATAGATTGCCCTTTTATTTCCCCCTATCTACGCCCTTTTTATCTGCCTAAATCTGTAGAAATAACATTACAAGTTATTATTTGGGCTCTGGGATTAATATAAAAAAAGCAAAAGCATCAAATTAAATATATATATATATATATATATATATATATATATATATATATATATTATTCGATTATAGTGGTGAAGGTTTGTGCAAGACCAGC